TATATATATATATATATATATATATATATATATATATATAAGTTACGGTGCTTTGCCGTTAATTCTCGCATTAATTGAACCAAAGTTTTCCTATAAGGACATTATATACGAATCATTTCGTTTAAGAATCAGTAGATATCTAAGACCAAATCAATTTACTTCCACAATGCAGGAACAAGGGATCTCGAATAATCGGCATTTTTCGTTGCAATGTATAATAAGTAGACGAGGATGTTTCGCCCGAACATGGTGGCAGTTATGATTGAATTGGTCTGGAAATATTGTTTCAAAAAAGTTCTAAAAGATTTCGTATGAAGTTTTCGAGGGTAAGGTTGACACAACATGGCATGCACCAACAAAGTGCAAAAATAGCATTAAAATATCGCCATTGTTGGCGCGATCTACTGACGCTGAACCAAGTTGTTTGATGACGTTTAGCATATCTCATAAAGTCATCGTGGAGTCAACTAGATACATGCCTAAAGCAGTGACAAAACATTGCATGAATAATTTTTCTTTCAATAGGGGACAAGAAAACATTGCATTTCTTTCTCGTTGCAATTCTATCGCACATCACTGATGGTACTCAGCACACGTTATTGTCCACTATCATTCAGTGACAGTGGTAGACAACTTCGCTCGGGACACCAAGGAAACACGGGAGATTCACCACTGAGAGTCCAGTGTGGGAGTGGTGGTAGCGCAGTGGTTTAATCGCTGTCACCATAGTGCTTTGAACCCTATGGTCCGAGATTCGAGCCCCAACACCGACACCCAGCTTTAGTGGTAGGCAGCTTTGCTGTTGTCCGGTTTAATACCAGAACTAACGTACTGGAGCCTTATGTGGCTCACCACTCCAAGTCCCGCGGTTTAGGTTATCGGTTTTCATCATTGAACAGGTCTTCGTGACTATGGGATCCACCTCGTCTGCTGTTCATCACCGCTAGTCACTGTGCCTGTGGGGTTTATCTGCTCTATTGTTCATCGCGTGTTGGTGTGCAATTAAGCCGAGGAAAGCAGATGGAGCATCTGAAGAGAAACGAGCAATCCGTATCGAAAGAAGCTGTATAGTCCGAGAGTTTAAGGCACCCGCGGTCGTCCACTGGAGCAAATGGTAGACCTCCATAGATTACGTTGGTTGGGGCATCTGTTACGCATGTCACCAAATAGGTTGCCACGGCAAGCGATGTTCGCCTAAGCAAGTAGTGGGTGGAAGAAAGTCGAGGGTGGTCAACTAGTGTATGAAAACCCTAACCAAGAGTCTGGGTCCCGTTGGGCTCCCTGGATGGGGACCTCGGGATGATAATACCCGATGGTTAGAGACACTGAGTGATATGACTGGGTGTCGTAAACAATGGCGTTCGTGCGTTCGTTCCTGTCAATTTACCTGCAACATCAGTCCACTGAAATCCTAAATTTTCTCCTTAATCCTACTTTCAACCTTTCCTGTCTTTCTCTTAATGTTCATCCGTTTGGGCAGCCAAAGGACAAAAACCAAAATCGGTGTACGATAGTGCATGGTTAATGGTTGTACAAACTGAAGTGAACTATAGTCCGAAGGGATAAACATCTATCGTGAGAATGGGTATCAAACTTAAATAAATACCTATCGTATTTGGTAACGTGAAAATGTGGAAATTAGTCAGGAGGGCAATGCGTCTTGTTTAGCGTTTGAATAATTACTACACCAAGGTTGCTAACGAATGCTAGTCGGTGCAGATCTATACTTTTGTTTCTGAGGAAACACGTTCGCACAACCATATTGAATAAATGCCAACGGATTCGATGACGGAGAGATGCGTACGCACACACAAAGAAATAGAACTAAATAAAACAAAGTCATGCGCGCATACCTGCCACCAGTTTGGATCCTGATCGTCAACCAATTCCAGCACATCACCCGCGCGAAAAGACATGCCCACATCTCCGGCAGGCATCAGCGCATCTCGACTGGCATCATAGTCAAAGAATGTTCGAATAAACCGCTAGACAGCCGAATCAACGGATGATGGAAAAAAGGTAGGAAACATGCGTGGAATGACATTCTCGGGCGAAAAAAATNAAATGACCAGGTTCATTTGAGGTACTAATTTATATGGCAGTTGGTGCGATCTGAAAGACATTCAACTGTTTCAAAGAATATCAACACGGGGCGAAAGAAAAACTGTGTGCAAGTAAACACGTTATTTAGGTTGCTAGCTAGCATAGGAATATAGAAATTCGGTAGATGTCTGCAACGAATAACTTATTCGGTTCCGTTTGATCTCAATTTCCCCAGAGTCAATTGGGTGAAGTCACAGTGGTCTCACACGATCCAATGTGACTAATAATACTGCTATTTTCCGTCCTTGATCGGAGAGTGAAACCAGACNATGTGTACATAGTGCGAAGCCTGCCCGAACAGTTTTGCCGGTATGTGAGTTGCACTATGCCATGCTGTTGTAGACGGTCCGAGAGGAGGACACCACTTATTCAAACCATTCACTTTTATGTCTGACTGCACCCACTTAGACTAAAACCACCGAACCGCAACGGAGTATCTCTGTATGCACGATAATCTGTTAACTTCAGATTTCATCACCAACAGTTGGATGACGCAGAGACTACTCAAACCAGTCATCTTCGTTCAATAGCACCTTCAACTTTGTCTTGTTGCGATGTTATCCTACGGGTAAGTCCGAATTCTACAAAACTGCACGAAATGGTATCTTGGGAGACGGTTGAAAAATGAGAAGGTAGCAAGAAAATACCCCGGTCGGTTGGTACCGTTCAAGATAACACACCAGTCGGTAAAACTGACTTGATTTCTTGTCTACTTGGCCCAGACAACATTTTTTGTATTTAATTTTTGTTGAAGTTCTCATGTAAAACATGTCAGTTTGGAAAATTTACTTTAGCATCAGCCAACTACTTCCCTATTCTTCAAACACAATATACGTGCTGCAATCTGAAGTTTTCGTAACATGCACGTAAGAGTCAAACTGATATATCGATCAGCTCAGAACCTATTGGATACACTTGACCGAGGTTGATGCGTTTAACGTTCAGACACCACCAACTCAGCGAACAGCTTTTTTTCTAAACAGCACATAGAAATCAGCATAACCAATATTGTCTCAAAGGCTTTGGAAGATCAAACTCCACATTTTGTCTGTCGCACGCCACCAAAGCATTTGTAAAACTCAGATTGTTTTTAAACCTGATCGGGGGCTTGACGTGTATCGTTTCATCCATCGTCGAATCCTAGTTTACAGACAAGCATTCGATAAGTCAACCATTCTTGCTTCCTAAACTTAAAACAGTATTAGACTCGATCCAACTCATCATTCTCTGCTACTGCTTTTCTTTGAGTGGCTGTTCAGAAGCCGCAATCGAGATTATCGCCGCTTTTTCTGCTCGAGTTCAATCGAGAATCTGTGCTCGTCGGGAATGATCTATTTTCCTTTTCTCTTCGAATTTCTATTGGACAATAATTTCGAAATAGCTCTATTTGATCTGAAGCGAATGGACACATCCGCCCCTGTATGGGAAGCGGTGTGGTCAAGTCAAATCAAGTATTTGCTTTATGCACCCCGAAAGGTGGATATTCAGTCAATCAACAACTATCGAACAAAATTATAACAGAATTGTCGTACTCAATGAAAAAGAAAAAATTTACGAGGACTGAGTTAATTTCCGAAGCAATGCGTTCTGAGCTGACAAGAAAACGGGCAAGATAGGGCACCACAGAAGACCGATAGGCGGTCGTAAGAGCAAATATACAATTATAGCGGGACCGGATGGAAGATGAGAACACACTTAATAAGATCTTGATGTAACGGATGTGAAGGGTTGTCTATGATTTTTGTTGATAACGAAAAGCATGACTTTGTATGTTGGGAAAAGATGAATTGATAGATAGTTTCACGGGAAATCCCGCTACTTTTTGATAAATGTGTTAATGGTCTGGAAAGCAATTTGAAGTCCTTTTTGAGCACCCCTGGAAAGATTACTGGGGACCCGACAACCATAAAGGCAAAAAGAAAATGTTTAATCAAGAAGCGAGGGACGGATAGTGTTTTCAGTCGTAAGACATAAAATGATAGTTTCTTAACCTTTCTAAATACAGAAAATTGGTCAGACCAGCATACGTATCGGTTAATTAACACACCAAGATAACTGACATTTGGCGGTTGGACAGAAGTATCAACGTAAATGTTTAACGTAGTACAGGATTCCAGGAGATTAGCATATCGATTCCCTCTGTGAAGTGAGAACAGCATGTCTACACATTTAGAGGGATTGAGAGTTAAGTTATGTTCAGTGGACCACTCAGCAAGGTTAGTAAGGCCAACTTGGAGGGTGGGGGTGACAGATGCATCAGGGTGGGCGATTCCGACCACAACATCATCCGCATATTTAATGAGCAGGGAATTTTGAAAAGTAGGCATGGATGAAATATAAGTGGAAAAGAAAAACGGGGATAGAATGGCTACCTATAATACGCCTAGTGTAGAAATTAAGAAAGAGGAGGAACGACCAGGGTAACGTGTGAACTGTGATCGATTTATGAAATAGTTAGTGAGTACTGCAGTAATTGTTTGTGATATTCCACTGGAAGACAAAACAGTTAACAGTACAGACCTCTCAACACAATTGTAATACAAGAAACAAATTCTGACAGCTTTCTTGTCTCCAACACACAGAAGGTATGGCGTCTGCCAGGGGCAGCATACGTCGTAGCAGATGTTTAGATACTGTGTAATGTGACCTCAGTAGATGGAAGGATTGGGGTTGCCGAACACACTGAAGTCCGTCTGAGAAACCATCACATTGAGCTTCTCTAGGTTCTCTAGGTTACATTGACGTTTTCTTTCTTATGTGTCAAGCCTTTTGGTGAATGATATGTTATTGACCTTGGTGTAAACTTTTGGGGAAACTTTAACATGAGTATGGTCTGAAGACCCAAGAGGGGAACGGGAAGATGCGAAAAAATGCTGGTATTATTTACAAAACACTTGTCTAAATGAGCATTTAGTCTTGTTGGAAAACTCACTATGTTTATCAAATCCAGAACAGACATGAATGAGATATCAACACGTTTGAAATAACCACAGACGATACATAGCGAGAAATAAAGATAACTCATTAAAGCTATGGAAATAGTATCTGAAAAACGACGAAGTTTCTCTGAGGGACAAGAAGGAGAAATATAAGTGTTAGCTAAGACAATCGACTGATAGTTACTGAGGTGCTTTGGCTTGCATTCATGTACGGAGGCACATATGTTACCAGTGGAATGAGCAAATGTTTGCTTCACGTTCTTGCACCAATTGTTGTTGATATAAGTCACCAGGCCTCCTCCACGCTTCTGATACGTTGCCGGACGGTCGACTCCGTATCCAGTGAAGCCACCAATTTTAGTAATCTGTTAATCAATTTCGCTATGTAAGAGAGGTAAATAAGATTTAGGTGCTGAGTAAAGGTTAATTGCGAACTTTCTTGAAAAAAGGGACCTGGCCATATCACGTGTAAATTTTGGGTTCAAAGGTAGTGAACTGTTGTTACCGTATGGAGTCGGTCCGAAATGCCAAGCTCAATCTAGTCAATGAGGTGATGAAGAAAGTTAACAATTATGGCTTACTAGACATGTAAAGGTCCCCTGTTGGTCGAATATTAAAGTGGATTTCCGCATGCATACAGCAAGCTTGTCTGCCAACTCAGGTGACTTTGGATGTAACCGTGACATCTGACTGTCTATGAAAAAATAAATGTGTTACAGTAGTTCGGCCGGTTGTAATACATCATGCAAAATTGAGGCTGTCACGTGTAGACGACAAAAGCACATCATCGGAGTCCGAAGCTAGTTGTATCCGCTACATGGCACGAGTCCGGCGAGCGGCGTCATAGTTAGGTGAGGAGTTTTGGCTCGCAGTCGCGGTAGTTCAGCGTTTACAGATTTTGCTGGTTCGAAAATGACTCCGAATAGACTTCCTTGGCATGCCATTGTAAACAAGACAGTTAGGGATTGCAGAAAACCACAGAGGAACCTGATCAGAGTTCCGATGTGCATCGGTCATTGTGAATGCTAATCGGAACCGCCACATTTACTGCATCGACCGGAATGGAAAATGATCAACGCACTGCTGCTACCATAACTCTAACTACCTCCTGCCCTCACCCCCCCACCCATTCCTCTTAAATCTTCCTGCATTTCCTCCCGATTTATTGTATATTCCAGAAATTTTGTTGATCATC